AAAAAAAAAAAAAAAAAAAAAAAAAAAAAAAAAAAAAAAAAAAAAAAAAAAAAAAAAAAAAAAAAAAAAAAGTAGAAAATTCGACTCACTTGGGGAAATATTGTCTTGGTCCACCCAAATCATCATCGCCCGCACTACAAGACATAATAGAGGTAACCAATAATTCTATGAACAAGGGAGACCAATATAAGTAAAAGGAATCGAAACAACCAGTGTGTGCGTGTGACTTGGGAGACATTTTACAGATGACTGTCAACCATGAAATGAAGAATGTAACCCACGATAATTCTTAAGATATGCCACATTAACTGACATCTTGAAGTGTTGCTAGGTTTATAACTCTGTTTTTAAAAAAAAAATACATGTGATAAAAGCTAAATGATAAGAACACACAGATAACTTACTCAAGAGACATATTCCAAATAGCCATGTATCTGGAATCCAAAGATCTAATTTTTTGTTGTTTCTCAGACCAGCAAGGATCAACCAGAACAATCTTCACTTCCTTAAGGCCTTAAGCAAGTTCATAAATATGAATTAGAAAAACTAACGACAAGAAGATTTTTATCATAACATTATTGAGAACACTGATGAAATGACACAAGAAAAAGGCAATGAGGATGTCGAGAAGAACGTAGATGTTAGGCCATAAGTTATGTCGTGAAGTTACTAATAATCTTAGCCATGTCAACATAAATGAAATTAAAATTAAAAAAAAAAAACTTAAAACTGAACCTGGCTTCTCTAATCAGATGTCAAAGTAGCAAAGATATAAGTTGAAATACTATCAAATGTTTATGCTACTGAAATCTAATTCCAAAAAAACTCAAAATAGACTTGTAGAAGTCCACTGACCAGAAGTGCCACATGCATTATCACGTTGACCAACATCCTTTGATATAGTATGGAGCTTAATCGTCACAAATTCAACCTGTAGCCAAATGAAAAACTGGCAATTCACAAAAAAATAGAACTCAAGTATCATAAAATTAGTTTCTAAAGAAAAGATATAAGAACTCACCCTTTGAAACCAATGACACTCAATATTAACGAGATCATCAACTCTCCATTCAAGGTTAAGGAACTCGTTGCTCCCATAATCAGAAAAACCATTAATTTTGATGCCATTATGTGAAAAGGTTAACTGCGAACTGGTACAATAAGAATCTCCATATATAATATAATCGGGACATAGAACAACCTCTTGGTTAAGATCATCCTATAAAAGTAACAGAGAAAAGCTTCAGTGCCCAAATGCCTACATTCTGGACAATAAATTTTGATAAGTCGAATCTGCCTACAGAAAATAATCGTTATAAAAAAAGACAAGAAACGTATTCCACTGAAGTAATCAACTCTACATCCGAAGTTGTAAACAATTCAATTACTAAAAAAAACAGGGAAAGAAAGAAAAGCTCCTCAGATGAAATTAGGCACCTTAGAATTATAATTACAAAAATAACTTGATAAAACACTACAGCATCCAAGAAGGTGCCTCATATTTCACGATTTCAATTCTTTCTTCCTATCCAGTGTTTTTCTCTTCAAACACTCTTCAAGAATAAGAGGAAACTATAGTCTCCTTCAAGATCAAAAACCCTTGACAAGGACCAATCATGAAGAATTCATAATATGTATGTAACAACATGAACATCGGGACAGCCTATACTTCTGATAAAAGTAGTTAAGACTTCAAAAGTCCTGGAGTCCGATTAAACGAAAAATGCAAATTGGAAATAAATTTCAGGAAAATTTTAAGACAAGTGTGTGGCCCTTTTCTTTTTCTGTTTAAATCTTTACAAGGAAGAAACTTACCATTTCATTGTCAGATGAGCATTTATCTGAAGACCTCCCATTCGGCGAAACTGAAATTGTCCAAATAATAATAGTCAGGCATAGAACTTGGGTAAGTTATTAGAGTGTTCTTTGGAGGACAGGATTTAGTCAGTGCAACCCTTGCAAGTTATATGTGAAGCAAATAATTCAAAACTTCTGTTTGCTGCAGGCTGGTTACCAAGTCAGTGGAAGAACTGTTATCCAATTTTTCAAACCGAAGGGATATATATAAGGTTTTTTCAAATTCTTTTTCTGGTTGAACTGAGCCATGGCCATTTGTTGAAAGATTTGAGCGAGGAGAAAAATTAAAATTTCTAGTAATAAGAGGAAGGAGAGTGGCAAGGTATTGGCCTTGGTGTCTACAAACAAAGCCATAGTAATGTAGCCTTACAGTTCATTTCAATCGATTGAAGGGTTTACTTTTTTTCTCTCAAACCTCTTATTGTGTGTGTGTGTGTGTGCGCGCGCGGGCGTGGAAACATTGGTCCCCTTTCATGATCTTCCTTATTGATGCAATTGTTCTCCTCAGGGAAAAAACCAAAAGAATGTTGAAGTGGATACAGTGTACAGAACGTACCACTATCCTCTACAAGTTCCGAAGGAGAGCTCATTGGAGAACTCCCATTCATGCTTCCATTAGGATATGAAAGTGCATCCACTTGCTCCCTCTGTACATTGAAAAAGAGAATGTTAATCAAACATGACTAATACTCCTATATATCTCAACAGAAAATAATGTTCAGAAAGCAATAAGTAGGGTACTTTAGCGGCAAACTCAGGAAGAGTGCAATTTAACCCCAGGATAGAACTTTGAGAGCTAGATCCAACTTTTCCAAGTTCAGAGCCAAAGCATCCTGTCACGTGATTATTTACTTGCACAAACATGTCTTGTGAATGAGTATTCCATTCTGATTCTGTATTGACATCCAATTGATATTTCTCTTCTTCCATGATCAATTGCTCTTTAGATATGCCCGAGGGGATATGTGAAATACCATTGTCACAACCACGATTACATTCATCCAAGTCAACATCCATATGTGGATTTTCAACCTCTTTCCCTTCAACACATTGGACACTGTTAATTAATCTTCATTAATTATTAAAATGGATGGCCATCAACAAAGAAACTAATTTTGATAATGATAGCAAGAAGAAACTTGCAGCAGCATTGTTGAACGGACATTCATTAAAGAAAGGGCACAAAAAGAAAGCAATTCTGAAATGGTAACTTGGACAAGGACAAGCCATATTGAGAACTAAATAAAAAGCACAACAATAGAGATGAACATCACGGTAGTTAATGTTTGTTTTCAGCTATCAAGAATACAAGACGAATGATATCATCAAACGTGTGCGGAAAAAAGTTACCATAGCAAATTTTCACTAATTTATGATACCAGAAGTAAAGAAATTTGTCGCTCCATAGGGAAAGATGAAAAATAAATCATTCCAGAAATCCTCTTTCAAACGTAAATCCACTTTATTTCCCCATTGGAAGTAAAAAAATAAAAAAAATAAAAAAAAATAAAAAAAAAATAAAAAAAAAATCAGCAATCGGCTATATGCTACAAGGCGCCAGAAATAACAATTCAACTCATTGAGATGCCATTCAACATACTTCAAATTCGTCTGTATTTCACCGTAAATCTACAAGAAAGAGACGTTTAGCAATCTACAGACTACTCCACGATCTACCAAATGAAAAAGGCTAACAGAACCAATATAGTGATCAACTTTCTCTACGATTTTCTGTTAACAATCAAAATTAAAGACTCTTATCCATCCATCCATCGCCTACCAGTGTTTGCAGACAAATAAATAAATAAAACGAGAAGTAGTGTTACCAGTCCAGGAGTACCTACCTAATTCAAGACATCCATACTTCAAAACAGTGTTGATTTCGAGATTAGGGTTTTTGAATTTGCTGAGACACCTCTCGGAGATCAATTCAGGAAGCTCGTCTTCTTCGGTGAAATCGAAGACTTCGAGGCCTTTGACAGAGGCGTTGTTCATGGCGAGATGAGAGCGGATCACTGAGAGATCAAACGATCCCGAGAAATAAAACTGCCATCGTAAATCACAGGAGGAGCTCCGATGCAAAGGACGAAGTAAAGCTCTGGTAAACGAAGATCGTGTCAAAGCTTTGGGCCACTTGGTTGCTGAGAATGGAGCCAATTAGGGCTGTTTGGCGCGGAATCAATACCCCTCCGGTTCCTAAAACCCCGTGTTTAACGTACTGGGTTGGCTCACCAGCATTGAACTCACTCCAGCGTCAGATTTCAGTTAATTTATATTTTAATTTTTTTAATTTTTAACCTATTTTCTTTAATATTCAATTTTATAACCTGATAATTTATTTATTTTTAATTACATTTAAATAATAATTAAACCAATTTTAAGTTTAAATAAACATTAAACTATTCTGCTCCCTAAATTTATATTAAATTATAAAATATTTCAATTTATTCGATACACACATTTGAACATACTGTCTGTTTTAGGTTGTTATATATCGTCGTCAGCCTCACAATTTTTAAATACACCTACTAAATAGAGGTTTCCACACTTAAGAAATGTTTCGCTCCCCTCTCCAACCAACGTGAGACCTCACAATCGACCTCACTAGGGGCCAGAATCCTCGTTAGCACTCCGTCCAGTGTCTGGCTCTGATACCATTTGTAACAGTCCAAATTCATTGTTAACATATATTATTCGCTTTAGTTCGTTACGTGTCATCGTCAGTTTCACGGTTTTTAAACACGTCTATTAGAGTGAAGTTTACACACATACATGATCTCAAAAAACTTGTAATTTAACCACTATTTTTAACTAACCAAATAACAAAAAATAAAATAAAATAACTAAATATTAAAATTCGCCATTTATATTAATAAAGTTTTAAATTCCAACCATTAATTTTAATGATTCTCTGCCTTTTCTCATCTTCGCTAGTTTTGACCTCAATTTGGGCATGCAAGCCTGCAACAAATAATACGCAAATAAATTAATTAATCATTTTATTTACTATAAATAATTTTAAAAATTCCCAAAATTGTAGTTTTAATTAATTTCGGTTATTATGCTTTCAAACATTATATTATTCAACAAATAAATTTATAATATAAGATTGCTCCTTCATGTATATCATATAAATATTGCATCAGCTAACTATATAGTTAAATAATAATCTCAAACATAAATTAACTACCCTTGGTAACCTAAAGCCTTCCAAATAATATAATTATTTTAAACTTAATTACCACAGTATCGTTCTAGATCATTATTACACTAATTATTTTTTTTTAAATAATAATAAAAGAAAAAAAAGTACTTGTGGAAACCCAATTCCCGTAACGCATAGATGAGATGAGAAATGACATAGGTAGTGGAGATGAGGACGGATAAGGTTTTTACATCACAGCCTCACCCTATGGGCTGTGTTGTATGAAAGTCTCACAACTAATTTAGAAAATCAAAAAATACTCTTTTCAAATTATATTATTGCAGAGAGTCGTATATATATGTGAAAATTTGAAATATTTTTATAAGTTCGTAAGTTAAATGGAGAAAATAATTATTATAGTGCAAAAGAAAGTACTCACCCTAATTTGAGAGAGGTATCGGAGCTGTCGTCGTCGGCGGGAGGGCCGCTGTTGCAGCTGTACATGTTGGCGGCGGAGTCCGACGAAACCCCGTCTTCCGGCACCGGAACGTCGGAAACTACCAGCAGTGGCCTTCTTTGATTCGACAACCTTATCATCTGCAAATTTTAATTAATTTAATTCCAAAAATAATATTCCACTTTCTCTATTAATTTCCTTTCTTCAATAAATAAATAGAATTTTATTACCTGCCGATTCAGCGTCCTGTTCTCTTCCATCAATCTGGCTCCCTGTATAAGTTACAGTAATGACGTGGAATAAGTCTATTATTAAAAAAATAAAAATCAATTAATTAGGATTAAATGTGTAATTTTAAAATTTAAATAACAAAATAATATAATTTAGTAAAAAAAAAATGAAATTAATTACCTTAAGCTCAAGCGCATTAATTTCATTCATAATCTTCCTTTCCTACAATAATATAAAATATCTGTAAATTTTCGAAATATAATTATTTTTTTATGATTAATAATATTATTATTATTTGAAATAAATTAAAATTAAAAATAAAAACCTTGGTTTGAAGAACACGTGCTAAGCCTATTTCAAGCACTCCTTCCAATTGCTTCAAATCTTCTAAATTCAATCCTTGAAGATCCTCTCCTCTCATCTGCCTAATATTAATTTTTAAAATTAACATATATTATTATAAATTAATGATAATAATAATAATTAAAATTGCGAAAATAAAAAATAAATAATAAAAGTACCTCAGTTGATGGCTCATATCTGCAACTTCCTTGGTCAACCGAGCGTGGCTGCTATTCTCGAGCTACACTTAAAATGCTTTAATTCAATGAACTCGAGCTTTAAATATTACTATATAATATATCTTTTAAATTAAAAGGTCTAATAATTATGTTAATTTAAATTTTATAAATTTATTAAATACAAGATTTAATAATTTGTATCATTTTAGGGACGAAATTGGAAATTTTCAAAATTTGAGGGACTTGTTGGATAAATTTAAAAGATTACCTGTAGGTCAAGGGATGGATCTTCCAACTCTCCAAGGTTACTGGAGTGCAAATTGTATCTTGCAATAACATCATTAACGCTGCATTATATGTAAATAAATAAATAAATAATAATAATAATAATAATAATAATAATAATGAACTTAGATTAATATTTGTCACACTCTAACAAAATAATGGTATTTAATCATTTAAAAATCTAATACCATGCTTAATTCATAATTAACTTCTCCCCTTTAACCATAATCTCATTATTAATAGGATGTTTACAAATTAAATTCGCTTTTGAGTCGACAGTCCTACCTTCTTGACCGTGCGGCGTCGTGATCTATACACGCCCACGACTAGCCTTAAGGGGAATTAAGCCCCATATGTATTTTTCGCTCCGGCTTTGTGGCTTCGTCGGACTTTAGGCGAGGTTTGTCTTCGCCAATCGAACATCGCTTGTGCGGAATCCAAGCTTGTTCAACCACATACGTCGCCTGTGCGTGTATGTTCAATCCTCTGCGACACATCCGACTTGCCTCTACGCTAGACCAACTCATTCGAGTTGAGTTGGTAACTAAATAATTAGAATAGAATTCACAACTCAACTCCCTCCGTCTTGTTTGAGTATACTATTTATCATAAACTAATAAGATAAAATCTCATAAAATTTAAATATTCAAAGTCATAACTCATCCTTAGTATCATTACAAATGTCAAATATTCTTAATATTTGCAATAATTGGTTGTAATTGTTGGATGAAAGTCCTACCTCGGCTAATTTAGGGAATGATCTATGTGCTTATAATCATAATACTATCCATGGGTATGAGGTCTTTTGGAGGAAGTCCCAAGTGTTTGATGAAAGTCCCACTAATTTAGGGAATGATCATGAGTTTATGATCAAGGAATACTCTCTCCATTCGTATAAGACATTCTGAGAAGCCTCAAAATGAACAATATCATGCTATTATGGAAAGTCGTGTTCATCTAATATGGTATCAGAGTTATGCCCTAAACTTAGCCACCTCACTGTGGAAAGTCGTGTTCATCTAACATGTTATCAGAACATGCCCTAAACTTAGCCACCCCATTGTGGAAAGTCGTGTTCATCTAACATGGTATCAGAGTCATGCCCTAAACTTAGCCACCTCACTGTGGAAAGTCGTGTTCATCTAACATGTTATCAGAGCATGCCCTAAACTTAGCCACCCCATTGTGGAAAGTCGTATTCATCTAACATGGTATCAGAGTCATGTCCTAAACTTAGTCACCCCATCTAACATAGTATCAAAAGTCATGTCCTAGACTTAGCCACCTCATCTAACATGGTATCAAAGTAATGTCCTAAACTTAGTCACCTCATCTAACCTAATATCAAAGTCGTGCCATAAACTTAACTATGTCAATAGAATCCTCTAACGTCGAATAAAGGGCTCCAAAAGAAAAAGGAGTCCGAGCTTCGATCAAGGGGTCTATTAATAATTTTCTTAATTTATTTAAATTAAGTTTCATTCAAAATTATTAAGGATTTTTGTAGCATTTGTCGTAAAATACAAAAGTTGGTGGATCGCCGATTATTACCTGGAACTGGAAAAGTCGAAGAGCTTTCCGGTAGCGGAGAAGACGAGCAGCGCGACCTCGGCGTCGCAGAGCACCGACAACTCCTCCGCCTTCTTGAAAAGCCCTCGCCGTCGCTTCGAGAACGTCACTTGCCTCGCCGTTAAGTTGTTGATCTTTTCCCTCGCCATTGAATCTCCAGTGGCAAAATTGTAAAAATTGCAAAAAAACCTAAATAATTCAGATCCGAAAGTGAATTTCCTTCCATAAATAAGAAATAAAGAAAAGTGAAATTCCGACCAGTTTCGATTTCTCGTACCTTTGATTCGAACACTACAAGAACGGTGTCGGAGCAAAAAAACACGACCGGGGATAGATGAAGATTAGACTTGACGTATTCTATTCAAGGAAAGAATACATTCCCATTTATAGCCAAACAGTCGTCAATTCTTTTTAACTTTTTACCTGAGTTTCAGTCAAAACCTTATCTTTACTATTTATCGAAGTAAAAAAAGAAACGGTAAGTTTTGAAAAATAATTAAAATTATTTATTTAGAGGCAAACGGATAATAATTATATGTCCCAGGTGGCGTGGAAACGGGAGCTTTCCGTACAACTCCGGCCATGCTGCCGGTTGTCAGTTCAGAGCCTTTACCTGCCCGCTGCCCTACTCTACCTTGTACTACTTTTTTATCAGTTTGTGTAATAAATTTTATATCGTGCGATAATTTAATAATTTCCCCAACTGAATCTCATAAATTATCGTCCTTTCTCGCGTACTTTATTCCTATTTTTTATTATTATTTTTTTTCATATCGTGTGGACGGGAAATTGCCGGTACGATTCTTTAACGGCGTGTATAGTTCACGTCCACTTGTTTGATTCTTGTTCTTAAAGCCGTGTTGTTGCACGTGCCCTTATCCAACTAGTTTTGCGTGTGGGGCCCGTTGGCTCAATAGAATTATTCGAAATAAATAAATATTTTAAGTTTTTAGTAATTAAATTCATAGACTTTTTAGATATTTAATTTAATATAATTATAACGCTTTTTAAATAAATAAGGTAAATTGATTCATGTATATAAAAAAAATTATGATTTTAAATCTATGTTTTGTCAAAATAAAAAAATATATATTTTACTCCACATATATATATATATATATTTTTTTTTTCGCGGTCGATAAGTTATAGTTATATTCTGTGATTAATGGAAAAAATAATGATTTTTTCTTTTAGGTTACATAATTTACTATATATATATATTTTTTTTTTTTTGCGGTCGATAAGTTGGAGTTATATTCCTTTCGTGTTCTGTGATTAATGAAAAAAATAATGATTTTTTCTTTTAGGTTACATAATTTACTTATAAATTTGAGTGTTTTGTTATTTAATTTTCACTTCTCAATTATTTTATACTCAATTAATGAGAGTGAGGTGTTCTCATCCGAGCCACATGTAGAATGATTTATGTATATATAATTGTGAGAGTTTAAGTTCATCGCTAGTAGATATTGTTCGTTTTGGTTCATTGCTTATTGTCGTTCGCGTCTATTATGGAGATGTTTCCACACCCTCATAAGAAATGTTTCGTCCTAATCTTCAACCATTGCATACATATATATGTTAGATATGTTCATTTTTTCTTGCAATAACGAGACGAAACTCACTGTTTAGGTAGAGAGTGAGAGTAATGAGCAAAAACTTTTCTCGTTAGCTAAATGGGGATGGAAATCCTTGCGGTAATCCCCACGAACACAAGTGGTTAATTCAAAGGAGACAATTAATGAAATAGGAAGCAAGGACGAAGATTGTCATTAAGCATCGGGAATTTCAATATGAAGTTTTGAGCATTTATATAGCTTGATTTTTGACCTTGTCTCTTGAAACCCACCCCAAGTTAGACTCGAGAATTCGTGTGATGGGTGATTGTTCAGTATGCTTCATAGAGCACTTTTAGTATACGTTTCTTAATAAAAGTTTCCCTATCAGAATTCTCGTCATTTCTTTAGCACCATTGTCGACTCTGACATTCGAGGCTGGACTTTCACGAGTCCGAGGTCCAATCCGAGACAAAATTTGATGAATTTAAAAGTGTGAATTATTAAAATTGATTTGTTTATGCTTCATTTAATTCTCTCAATTATCATTTTTCCGTTTAACTAAACAACTTTATAATGGGCCAGGCCTCAACAAGGACATGGGCCGTAGATTTCGACAGTCCATTAACAAAATAGGAAATGGGCCAAATGGTATATTGGGCTGAAAAGGGCGACGTCAAAGCCGGCCCATTAAAGTTCGGCCGAAAATGTCGGGTTGGCAATTTGCAAATTGCAAGAATGGAAAGGGGTAGAAATGTAAATAAGGGCAGGTAGGCAGAGCGTATTTTCGTGCGACTTGTCGTTTTTAAATATACAAAACAATTTTTTTTTTTAATTTTCAAATAAAAAAATTAATTTTAAAATACAGAAGCGAAGTTATTATACTCAACAGTTTTAAAAATATTATTGAGATATAAATAAAATTTAAGAATATTTTTATTAATTTAACTTTTTAATTTTTTAAAATAATAAAATAATAAAATGATTATCCACTTGGTAGACACGTGTGAATCAAGTGAAGCGCTGAATGTCCACGCAACCAGAGGTTAAATTATATATAAAGTTTAGGTTAAATTATATATTATAAATAATAAAAAAACAATAAACTTTCTTATTTTTTTTTTAAAATATTTTTATAATTTTAAAAGTTCCAATATTATCACCTCTATCTTTAATTAATATTTCATAACTATTTTATAGTATTTTATTTTTACTATTTAAAATAAAATTGAGCGAAATATAAATATTTTTTAAAAGTTAAATTAAAAATAATGATATTTGAATATCCATCTTAATATTAAGAGATTACAATTAATTTTTTATTTTATTTTTTTGTAATTTAACTTTCATTCTACGAACAAAATGAATTTAAATTAAAACTTTAATTTGTTTGTAAAAATAAATTGAATTTATTTCTTAAAAAAAATTATGAATTTTCTTGTCGTAACATTCACGTAGCTTGCACAAAATAATATTCCCTCCCACTTAGTTGGACAATGGCCATCTTTATCTTTTGTATTTTTTAAATATATATATATATATATATATATATATATATATATATATGAAATTTATTTAGAAATATCTAAAATACTAATTTTATAATAGTCTAAGTTTTTTAATATTTTTTAATCAATTTTCTAATAACGAGTTTTTTTTTTTTTTAATTAAACTCTAAAAATAATAACATGTTTTTAATAATATAATTTTAAATCTTTGCATGTTTTTTTAAAAATAAAGATAATAAAATAAGAAAATTTAGAGGCACTAAATCCACCTATAAAAGTAAAGGCACTAAATCATGTGATAAAAATTTATAATTTGGTTCTTCCATCTCTCTCTCTCAATCATGGGATTTTTGTGGATTTTCTCTTTGAAATGTTAGAAAATTAGGAAAATGGCAAAACGCGAACACGATATGCATCTCCATCAAAGTGGGGATCGATGTGGATAAGCTTGAAACGAGACGTTCATCTTTACAATTTCGCGTGTATAAATGGAACAGAAATTCAGCTGTAAGATACTTGATCCTTTCAGTTGGGAAAGGCGGGAACCAAAATGGGTCGTTTAATTCGTAAGTTTTCTATACATTTTTCTTCATCTAATTGCTTGATTTCGCGCTTGTGTGCTTGTTCGGTACGTTTCAGATTCAATTTCTTTGTGAAATTATCGTTGCTGATAGGCCCAAGAGCTTGCTGGAGTTGGCTATTTTCAGAAATGGCTGCAATTAGACCGACCTTAATCCACAAGAATCCTTTCCTTGTCTCATCATTTTCAGTCGGGACAAACTCTCTTTCTGTCAGTTCTTTTATCTCTCTGTTTTTGTTTTAATTCTTTGTTAATTCTAGTTTTAAATAGGTTTCTTAATGGACTTTGAATTTGAATCGACAGATGAAGGAAGAAATCGACGAAAATCATATGGAAGTGCCATCTAATCGCTATCACGAGTGGGTTCTTTCTGCTAATTTACTTTATGAATCTGTTAATGGAAACCCCCATGAATTTTCTCTTCTGGTTCTTGATTTTTTCTTTTTGTTACCAGGCTAGAGGTCTCAAGAAACTCATTAGGCCTTGCCCAAGAACGATCATCATGGATGGGAGTGAAAAATGTGGCTCAAGTAAAAGATGCAGATAAGGTGTTTGATGAAATGAAAATGAGATTTCTGAGTTTTAAGAAGCACAAGTACTTGTAAGTAGCAGTGGATACACGATTAGCTTATCTTTGGTTCAGTTAGGAAAGATCAAAATCAATTTGTGTTTGGTTTTTAATCCAATGATTTCATTGAAACAGGGAAAATTTAGAGCACTTTCAAGCTCTGGCAGAGCTACAAGCCCCTAAGGTAGTTAAGATGATGAACAAGTCCCTATGATTTCTCTTTGATTCTTGTGTCCTGTTTGTACTATCTCTGCTCATTACCTTGAATATTTCAACACAAGCTCACAAGTAGAACAGTTCATGGTGATTTCTTGTGTCGATTCTAGAGTATGCCCATCTAACATTCTTGGATTTCAACCTGGAGAAGCTTTCACCGTTCGCAACGTAGCGAACATCGTGCCGTCATGGGAGGTATATATAGTCTAGTGGGAATGTCTTGTATTATCTAAGTCAGACAAGCAAATAACTAACTTCAAGTTCTTATGCAGAATGGACCAACTGAAACCAATGCAGCCCTTGAATTTGCAGTAAATACACTTAAAGTGGGTTGTTTTCCATTCTCCATTCAGTTAAATTTGATCTTTATAATCTCTAGACTTCATATTAAGAGAACTATTTTTATACTGAAGGTTGAGAACATTTTAGTCATTGGCCACAGTAGCTGTGCTGGAATTCAGAGCCTTATGAGCATGGAAGATGATGCTACCGACTCGAGGTTTCACTTTCTCAAACTCCATCGTGTCTTCTTAATCTGTTTTTCTCGATTGTGGTCGTTTTCGAGCTGTAATTTATAGCTTATTCTGCTATGGTAGCTTTGTTCATAAATGGATGGCGAATGCAAAAGTTGCTAAATTGAGAGCTAAAGCTGCTGCTGCACATCTTAATTTTGACCAGCAATGTAAACATTGTGAGAAGGTATCGATCTTCTCGTTGCATGAACTTTTATATTAGAATCCATTTCTTTATTAGTTCGTATTCATAATTCCTTACTCTGTTACCCTGTTGAGTTAGTCCACAAGCTAAAGACTATATGACTGATGATGCCATATTCTCGGGCCACGGTAAAAAGCTCGAAGGGAATGAGTTCATGTCATGATAACTAATTGCTTAGAATGTTATTCTACGAGCCTCAGCAAGTGAGTGTAGTGGGGTTGATATGGTATTTAGTGCAAATAGTCGAGGTGCACACAAGTTAACTCAAAAGATTACTAATCGTGGTTCCCCTTTTGCCACCTAAGAATCAATTTCCTTATTAGTTCGTATTCATAATTCCTTACTCGGTTACCCCCTCGAGTTAGTCCAAAAGCTTTATATTGATTTTGACGAGCTAAGACTATATGCTTGATGTTATGTTCTCGGGCCATAGTAGAAGGCTCGAAGGGAATGAGTTCATGTCATGATGATTCATTGCCTAGAATATTATTCTACGAGTTTCCTCAGAAAGTGAGCATAGTGGGGTTGATCCGTTATCTAGTGCAAATAGTCGAGATGCATACAAGTTAACTCAAAAGATTACTAATCTCAGTTCCCATTTTGCCACCAAGAATCAATCAACTTTTATGTTAGAATCCATTTCTTTAGTAGTTCGTATGCATAATTCCTTGCTCTGTTATCCTGTTGAGTTAGTCCAAAAGCTTTATATTTCTTTTGACAAGCTAAGTCTACATGACTGATGCTATATTCTCGAGTCATAGTAAAAGGCTCGAAGGGAATGAGTTCATGTCATGATGACTCATTGCCTATAATATATTATTCTACGAGTTTCCTCAGCAAGCGAGTGTAGTGGGGTTGATCTGTTATTCGGTGCAAATAGTCGAGGTGCACACGAGTTAACTCAAAAGATTACTAATCTCAACGGTTTTCCTTTTTGCCACCAGGAATCAATCAACCTTTCATTGAAGAACTTAATGACGTATCCATGGATCGAAGAGCGGTTAAAACAGGAATCGCTTGCTGTTCATGGAGGATACTATGATTTCTTGAGTTGTACATTTGAGAAGTGGACTCTTGATTACAAGAACACCTGCAAAGCTGCTGGTAATGATGATCATGGATTTCAGATCAAAAATCAATCACTATGGTGTTGATATCATCTTTGTAAACTTCAAAAGTCGCTGTTGTATTTGTAAATATGACAAATGTTTTTACCAATAATTATAAATACTCTTTTAAGTAATTAATAATAAATGTTTATCTATTACGCGCTTTAGTTTCAATAGTTTTAGAAGTTCGGGTTAGCTATAGAAATGACTAAGTTCGGGACTATAGCCCCTACGCTACTTGTCACACCGACTTTGATGTTTAAATTTGTAAGAGTGTCGATATACCTCACGATTAAGGTTTTCGTTAATTATTTGTTGGATCCGGGTTAGACCAAGATTATATGAATTTTGAGAGCGTTGACCAAGACTTTTCAAATTGGGCTGACCACGGGCTTGGGCTTTATTCTTTAATATTTCGTTAAATTATAAATTTGAATTTATTATTTAACTCGCATGGAATATTCTTCTTCTTTATACCTTTTTTTAATAAAAAAAATTTAAATAATATTCGTTACTGACCAGAAAAAAAAAAGAATAAAGTTGGAATTAAAAAAGAAAAGGAAAAAAAAAAAAAATATATATATACCAATTACGTATCTTTATTGTGTGGCTTGTACTATACTGGACTTGTATACATTTGAATGTGGAAGTTTGCTTTTAGCATCTCTTTTTGGGTCCAAAAGAAAATTAAAGTTAAAAAAGAAAAAAAAAAGGCAAAATAGATCCACAGACCAATAATAATGCTTCCTCATTTACACCCGAGTAAAATAGGAGTACATAAATGAACCGATACTACATTCAAATGATAGCAATTGTGAAGATAAGAGAACTAGAATAAACTTAACAGAATTGAAAGTTAGTATCCATACTAACAAAGTGCACTTTATTTTTCAAGCTCGATCATAAAAACTCAAAAGTTTAGTGTGTTTTGCTTGGAGTAATTCTATGTTAGGTGACTGACCACCTAGGAAGCACGTGAGTGTGTACAAAGGGCTTCACTCTTAGAAGCGAAGAATAAATTACGTGATCATGTTGTAAGAGATTGTTGGGGCCATCAAATACCAAATCCAAATACCCCATATCGATTTGAATCTTGAACATGGGTTGTTACAACTGAACGTGATCACGTCATCGGAGATGTAGGATAATGCTGGAACCATCAAGTATCGTTCAAAATTCTAAATCCAAGGCATAAATTGTTACAATTGAGTACAAGGGTTCAGTTTTAGAAGCGAGGAATAAGTAACATGATCATGACATAGGAGATGCTGTGTTGAAACTATTAATAATAGAATTTGAATTAGTTACGAGGAGGAGGAGGTGAATTCAAATTCATCCACAAAATCTCTACAAAAATCTCAACCAATTCCGAGAATCCCCTATAAAAGGACCTCCCTCCCCATCACTCGAATCACTCCTCCTCTCAATCTCAATTCAGTTTTCTGTTGTCACCAACAACTGGTATCAGAGCCATGCCCTAAACTTAATCGTGTCAATAGATTGGCAAATCCTTAAATGTCGAACAAAGGACTCCAGAAGGAGTCAAGCCTCCTCGAAGGTACGAAGGCAGTCAAAAATGACTAAGACTCCAAAGGAGTCGAGCCTCGATTAAGGGGAGGCGTTCTTTGTTCGAGGGGAGGTGTTGGATGATGAAAGTCCCACATCGGTTAATTTAGGGAATGGTCATGGAAAGTCCCACATCGGTTAATTTAGGGAATGATCATGAGTTTATAATCTAAGAATACACTCTCCATTGGTATGAGGCCTTTTGGGAAGCCCAAAGCAAAGCCATGAGAACTTATGCTCAAAGTGGACAATATCATACCATTGTGGAGAGTCGTGTTCGTCTAACATGCTGGAGAATGTCGAGGCCATCAAGTACCGAATCCTAGACATGGATCGTGACCCGAAATCAAATTCAAATTTCAAATATTAATTTGAATTTTGGATATTTTATCACAAAATCAAATTAAAAGAAAATGTGCAAGTGGGAGTTTGATATAAAAGGATAGATGGAAAATAAAATAAGGGGCAGATGAAGAGCATTGGGCTATTTGTGCTGTCACTTCTCACAACCTTAATCAATCAATCAATTAATTAATTAATTAATTAATTATAATTATTATTATTTTGCTTCTTAATCAAATATTCCTTCTTTGATTACCCAACAAATTAGGCAAACACTTAAAGATCTTCATGTTCTCAAATCTCTTATCTTTCTAAATTTCAGTATGCTTAAAGAATAATATTTATTTTTTTAAAAATAATTTAATTACACTATTTATTCCGTTTTCAATATTATATATATTATTTATTATTTTCATTATATTATTTTAAAGATGAAAAACTTTCTAGAGCATAATATTGTCCACTTTGACGAACACTACTCTCTAGAATGGTATGATATTGTCCACTTTGAGCATAAGCTTTCATGGCTTTGCTTTGGACTTTCCCAAAACTAATACCAATAGAGAGAGTATTCTTTGTTTATAAATCTATGATCATTCCCTAAATTAGCGGCGGTAAGACTTTCATCATCAAACATTAAGATTTTTTTTTCTCTTTATTTTATTATTTTAATTAAAATGATAATTTTTAGTACAAAAGGACAAAAGCGTAAAAAAGGAGTAGAATTTTAGAGACAGGAAAGCAAAGCTTAGTTAGTGAGATTTAACTGTTGGCATCGAGCTTTCTAGTTAAATGAACTGTTCTTTCGACCATATTGGGTCACTGATAAATTTTTGTCTTCTAATGTGAACAAATTTCTCGTATGAGATAACGAGGAACCCGAGTTTTATTTTTTTTATGAAAAGGTGAGGGAAAAATAAAGTGGGGTTGTCGGCAAGCGACAAGTGGGTTAGAATCACAAAAAAGGAAAAAAGGGGGGGTAAAATGCAAAAAAAAAAAAAAGGTAAAGTAAGTGAGACGTTAAGCAAAAATGATTGGAAGCTGAAGCAACGCCGCATTCAAATTGCTGATTGATCCCTTTCGTCTCCAAATTGGCCTCAAAATTAAATATAAATTAATAAGGGTGAGAATCGTAATAAACTAAAACTTTGTCAACTCTGCCAATGGTTTTGAAATTGTATCAAACTAGTCGTGGTAGTCAAATTCAGGCGGCTACTCTCCTTTACCAATATTCTCTAATTTGCAAATTAGTCCTTCAATTTTTAGATTTTAGATTCTTACCCCGGAATAATTTAAATTAAATATTATTTATAAAGAATTTAAATCTCAACCTTAATTAATTAATTAATTAATTTTGAATAGATTTATTTTTAAAAAATTAATTAAATATCGTTGGGTTGAATAGAATTTAGATAAGAGCACCCGCCAATTATGACCACCGTACAGTCTAGAGAGAGAAAAAGACCCATAAGGTGATGTCCTTCTCTCTCTACAAGTGGAATGGCGGTGCACTCAATCTCTCTCTCATCCTTGGGCCCACCTCGACTGTTAGTGTCCCGATTCAAATTATTATATAATTGACACGTCATTGGATGATATATTATTTTATTATATTTTAGGCGTTGAATGTATGACCGAGAAATTATAGAGGTTGGCGGGTCGGGTTCAATAATTTGTAGGGTTGGGTCCACAGCCACCTCCTCGGACAGCGGCGCCGCTGCTCTTCACCCACCTCCACCTTCCTTGTTTTTCTCTCTCTATCAATTTTTTTTTATTTTATAAATAATTTCTCGATTTTTTCCTTCCAATTCCATTTCCGCCATTCTCTCTCAGTTTCTATTTTAGAAAAAAAAAATTATTAGCTTCAAAATATTTTATTTTTATTTTGGGATTTTTGAAGAAAACAAATGAAAGGAGATTCCACCGCTACCGGTGTACATCCGCTGTTTAAGCACTTTTCCAACCCCAGCTCCGCCGTAACCGACGGCTCCACCATCGAGGTGGTGCGGCGGCCGAGGGGTCGACCGCCAGGGTCTAAAAATAAACTGAAACCGCCTCTTGTCATAACCCGGGAAAACGACTCGGCTATGCGGCCGTATGTTCTAGAAGTGCCTGGAGGAAACGACGTCGTTGAAGCAATTTCGCGATTCTGTTGTCGGAAGAATATGGGTCTTTGTGTTCTTAATGGCTCTGGGACGGTTGCGAATGTTTCTCTCCGGCAACCCTCTGCAACTGCCGGCGCCGCCGTCACGTTTCATGGCCGGTTTGAAATACTTTCCATTTCGGCCACTGTGTTTCCTCAAACGACGGCGTTTCCTCTTCCCAATGGCTTCACCATCTCCCTTGCTGGACCTCAGGGACAAATTGTCGGCGGGTTGGTCGCCGGCGCCTTGATTTCCGCTGGTACGGTTTTTGTCGTTGCCTCGTCGTTCAATAACCCCTTGTACCACCGGCTACCGGATGAGAATGAGATTCAGAATTTGGGATCCGGCGGCAGCGGCGAGGCTCATTCCCCACATGTCTCCGGCGGCGGAGATAGTAGCGGGCACGGCCACGGGCAACCACTTCTGGAATCGTGTGGAGTGGCTATGTACAGTTGCCACACACCGTCCGACGTAATATGGGCGCCGACGGCGAGGCAACCGCCGCCATACTGATCCATAACTTTACGTTCTGTGTTTTTTTTTTTTTTTTTTTTTTTTTTTTTTTTTTTTTTTTTTTTTTTTTTTTTTTTTTTTTTTTTTTTTTTTTTNTTTTTTTTTTTTTTTTTTTTTTTTGAATTTTCATAAATCTTTTTTCTTCCCTTAATTTTCCACTACTCTCTTGTTAAATTTGTAGTGTTTGTGGTTTTGGTGTATAATTTTTAGATTTCGATTGACTGGGTAAACAAATCAGCATTTATTATTATCTTTTTAAAATAATTTTTTTTTATGTTTTTTTAGTTTAATATAAGATAAAATAACTCATTATTATCTTAAATATTGATAATTTAATAAACCCTAAACCCTTTTATTATTATTTTTTTAAAAATTTTAATTTTAATTTTTTTAATATTTTTTTAAGTTCGATAAAGCACTAATTATTATTTTAAATATCAATAATTTAATTTTCTATTCTTCCCGATATAAGATAAAATATTAATTATCATTTTAAATATCGATAATTTAATTTTTGTAGCTCATATATATTAAAAATAATAATTGTGTAATTAAGAGAAAATGGCCAAAAAAGGCATACGTTAAAAGCCGGATTTGCATGGAAGCTAAGTTTTATTATATTATTATTATCAGTGCATTTATCAAAAGAGAGCATTATTATAATTTCTGTGAATGTTTGATTAATCCACCACACCTAAATAGTGTGAAAGTTATCTTATTTATAATCAAATAAATTACAAGGATATGAAAATAGTAATAAATGGAAATAACAATAAATGGAAAGATACTTATGATAATAAGGCAAATATTAGATATTTGTCTTATAATAAAATATCAAATATAATATATATGGTAAACTATAATTTATTATTAAATATCTTTAACAATTACTAAAAATAAAATATGCATAACCCTATATGACTAAAAGAATTAACGAGTCAATAAGTTAAAGTATATATTCCCGAACAAAATGTTGAAGATTTAAATAAAAAGAAATTAATATATATATATATATATATATATGTATGTATTGAAAGGGTGGTGGGTATTAAGTCAAAAAAGAAATAGTGTTTAGGGTTTGGTGGGAGAGGAAGGATTTAAATGAACTGAATTTGGTCATGATTTTGACATTTAAGCCAATTGGATAATTAAATGGCACACAAAATCCATATATTTCTTTTCAATTTCCAAACTTTATTTATTTTTATTTATGATTTTTGTTTTTTTAATTTACTCGACTTTGGATAGATTTATATCGTATACTGTTCGGTATCTGACTTTCATACCAATTGTAACAGTTAAAGTCCGCCACTAATAGATATTGTTCCATTTTGGCCTGTTATGTATCACCATCAGCCTTACGATCTTAAAACGCGTCTGCAAAGAGATTGCATGCTCTTATAAATAATGTTTCGTTTCCCTTTCTAACCAATGTGAGATCTCACAATCCTTATTTGGAGGTCAACGTACTCGCTGGCATACCGTTTAGTGTCTGACTCTAATACCATTTGTAATAGCTTAAGTCCACTACTAACAGATATTGTACATAATGGTCTTAAAACACGTTTGTAAAGAGATTCCACATGCTTATAAAGACTGTTTCGTTCTTCTGTCTAACCAATGTGGGTTCTCACACGAATAGTGTAAGTAATGTGAACATATCGCAAGAGATATCGAGAATGTCGGATATGGATTCCAAATAAATATACGAGCAGAAGTGTATTAAAAAAATATTGTCTAGAAAATGAATTTTTATTTCTCAAATCCACGTGGAAAAAGTTTATATTAAATTGGGTTAAAATTAAAAGTGGTAGATGGAAAGGTGAAGGATGAGCTAGTACATTGTGGTTGACTTGGAAGCTTCTTTGTCGGATAAATTAAACCTATTCAATTTGGTCGGCACCGCCAACTTATGGTAATTTACTTTTACTCCAAATTTTCTTGTCCTTTTGCCTAAAAAGCCCTCCTATTTTTACTCTATCTATTCCATTTTTCAAAACCTAGGACTGGACTTTTTCGACCATCTACATGAATTTTGACTTTATAGTTAATAATCTTTTCTTTCCATCCAAGTTTTCATAAATTTACCCTTTTTTTTTTAATCTAGAAGAAACCGTTTATTTAGTGAAATTGTGTTGGTGTGTCGTAAGAAAGATAACTATACTGATTCGATATACTCTAAAAACACCCTTGTTATAATATTAACGATCTTACAAAGATGAAATTTAAGTTAATTTTCACTTACTGATCTCATATTTTACGGAATCTATCCCCCTTTGTACAAGAATATGTTGAGCTCGGCATGACTAGAAGCACTGGAGAACGATCTTTTGCTGATATTATCACAAGAATTCAATATTGGGTCATTCATAACATTACTATACCTTCTTTATTAATGGCAAGTTGGTTATTCACGAGTTTATTATTAAGAGACATAAGGGTCGTTTTGCTTCTTTAGAACAACTCGATGATTGGCTATTCACGGACTAGTTGTACCTACCGGTTCTTTTTTAGAGTCAATATCAAAAGTAGAGTACATCTAACGATAAACCTAATCCAGCTTATACTAGCTATAACACAATGAAATCCGAGAAGAAAAATAAAAAAAGGATAGGAATGCTTCTTATTATTAAGGGACATAATGAATAATAATAACAGGCTTGAGTTACAAAAGATTAATATCTGAGGCTTCCAAAAAGAATCAGCTCTCTACATTTTCTAAGTACAATCTCTCTCCAAGTTAAAGCTCTTATTTACTCGCCTCTAAATTCAGTATACAATAATCAAATATTTACCCTTTCACCTTTCCCTTCTACAGCTACCATTACTCATTACATTTCTACACTGTCTACTGGGGTCAGAATGCAACCTAACGCCAGCCATTCTTCTTATCCTCCATCAAATGCATGGCTTTCTCTCTACAGGTCGACTCTCGCCTACTTGAGAGATTACTAATCCCATTGGTTTGATAGGGACGAGCAGGTCGATTACTAATCCCATTGGTTTGATAGGGACGAGCAGGTCGAGACTCGGTTGTTTTAGCACGAACTGGTGCATCTTGGCTTGATTCAGCTGGATGCAAAAGCGGGGAGGATGACGACGAAACTGGTGCATCTTGGCTTGATTCAGCTGGATACAAAGGCTGGGAGGATGACGACGATGATGCCGATGGTAAAGAAGTGTTTGTGTCAGAACGATTTTGCAAACTATTCCAACCACATCCAGAGTCGCTATAAATGTACTCTGGTAAGTCCTCCGTGCTCGTTGAGTCACTGCTGCTGTTGGTGCTGCAAGAGCTTTCATCAGAGTTGCTACTGAGAAGAGAAGAACTGTCGCTCGTTAAGTCGTCTTCCAACAGCTTCTGGAGCTGGTGAAATTTTCGATAAAACGAACTGATATTTGAAGAATCATTTGATGAATTGTTGTAGATATGGGGGTTCTGGGAATCAGGATATGTGGAGTTGGGACTTGGTTTAAATGAGGTACTCCTCCCACTAATCAAAGCTGGAATGCATCCCTCTTTGGAATCGGTCATAATTTTGCTTCTGATCAACCTTGGGACCCTAGGTGAGCATCTGCAACGTTACCCGTCTTAAAAAAATGAAGGAATCGAAACAATAATTGCCCGAGATCAAATAATTTTAGCCCCAAAGTTTACCTTGCATAGAAGAGCATGTATGCCCCTCTTGTCAGTACATTTTCAAATTCCACAGCTGTTACCTACCCGACCATAGAAAACCGGAAGTCACATCTCCGAGAAAGATTAAACCATAGAAGGTAACATGTAAAATGTAATTCAAACCAGCAATCTAGAGAGCTAAACCATGACTGAAAGTTGCTAGGCAGATTAGCTACTAATTACTCAAAAACAGAGTCGAACGAAACAGTATTATCTATCGGAAGAGAAGAATTTAAATTTTACTGGTGCAGACAGAGGCAGATTATTCTCTTAGAATGGTTAATGTTACTGAAGTAGCTGAAAAAGTGCAAATAAAGAAAAAAAATCTTTGACCTCTTGTTCGTATATACCGAGTATGCCGAAGAAAACAACCTATGATAACCTTCACGACTCAACAGAATATCGAATAATGGAATTTGATAACATACCGTGCTGTCATCGATCTTGAACCACTTGTTTTGGTTATTCCTGATATAGCATACATAGTGACCAGAAAATGCAGCATTCATGACATCCAAATGAACAATCACTCCGTAAAGCCTGTATTCAGATGTCTTGTCACTTCTGCTACTCATATAGGGTGCCAGATCAAGGATTTCCGAAAAAATAACCGGCTTATTGAGCTTCCCAAATTTGCCTGACTAAATTGGATGAACAAAATAATAATAATAAGAAAAAGAAAAGCTTGGAATCTTACTTAATTATGCAAACAATAAATCTCAATGAGTAGAAAGAAAACCTGGAATCGTTTTAATGCTATAGTCAGGATGTTGGGAGCCTCCAATATTGACAGCCTTTTATTGGCTTTCACGTAAGATTTGCATCTGAATGAGATCAAGATCAAAAACAATATAACTACGAAGAAGACAATTGTCGTATATATAGAAAGAAAATTTTAGTCGAGACGAAAACGAAAACAGGTAGTGTCTGGCAAGAGATGTTCCCAATGCAAATAAAGATACATTAACCTGCCACATTGGTATCTATTATCCCCGTCTAAAATCTCGATGCTTGTATATTGTTGAAGAGCTTCTTCGATCGTTTCAATGTCCCCACTTATCTCAACGGTAAGATCTAAAATCCTTTCGATTCGTTCAGACTTGCTCTCACATCTTGTGCATTTGATCTGCAAGTGAAGTATCAAAATCGAAAGCATTGGTATTCGTACAAGAAGTTCGACTCCTCAGTGGCATTTCAGATAGAAAGGTGCAGTTCTAAGGAGTTCTAGCAACATGTGTTATAGAACAAAATTTAACTGACATTCTGGATATCCTTGGCTAATAAGACGAAACCTTGCACTACCTTTGATAGGAGGTAGCCACCAAATGTAAAGCCTATTAGAGTTGTTTCTTCTTCCATAGGGCCCGATCG